ATAGCCTGTGGCGGCATAGCCGGCGCCCCTCCAGGCCTGAAGGGGGCAGGGGAGGGGGGAGGCGCGGCCCTTGCTGCGGAGGATGGTAGGGTAGGGGAGGGGAGGGGGGGCGGGTGGGCGGGGCAAGAGAGGGGCGGGGACGCACCGCCGGCGCGTACGCTCCTCCTGCAGGGCCGCCTCCTGCAGGGCCGCCGCCCAAGCAGCAAGCGTGCGGCTGGCCCACGCCGTACCCCGCCGCCCTGCCGCCCGCCCCGGCCGTGCAAGCCGCCCAACCGCCGCAGTACGCGGGGGCGGCCGAGGCGGCGGCGCCGATGGCACCGCCCCCGACGGCGCCGAGATAGCGGGGCGGCTGGAGTTGCTGCAGCTGCTGGAGCTGCTGGAGCTGCTGCGGCTGCGAGTAGGCGTACCCGGAGCCGCCCGCCCCGCCCAGGCAGCCCGCCCCCGCCCCGACAGCGCCGCACCGGCCGGCAGGCATCTGCTGTGCAGGCATCTGCTGTGCAACCATCTGCTGGACAGGCATCTGCTGTGCAACCATATGCTGTGCAGGCATCTGCTGCGGGGCGGGCTGAGCGAGGGGCTGCGCGGGCATGTAGCCGCCGCAGCAGGCGCCGCCCGCGTAGGGGTGCGCCATGCCGGCGGGCTGCATCCCCGCCCCCATCCCCGCCCCCATCCCCGCCCCCATCCCCGACTGCAGGTAGCCTCCGGACAGCGCGAGGGACCCCATGTCCGGCATCGCCAGCTGCGAGTGAGACATCGCGCGCGCGTAGGCCGCCTGCTGCTGCTGCAGCGCGAACTGTGTCCGGTCGTAGTCCGGGTCGAGCCGGTCTGCCGCACGACCCGCCGCCTTCGGAACCGCGTTGCTCACCGGCCGCCCGCCAGCCGGCGTAGCCGCAGCACCGCCGCCCGCACCGCTGCCCGCACCGCTGCCCGCACCGCTGCCCGCGTCCGCGCCGCTACCCTCCCCCGCCAGCGCCGCCGCCGCCGCCGCCGCCGCCGCCGCCGCCGCCGCCGTCGCAGCCGCCGGCGCCGCCGCTGTCTCGCCGTTTCCGTCCTCCGCCGCAGCCCCGCTGCCGCCGGCCGCGCCGCCGGCCGCGCCGGCCGCGCCGTCGCCCATGATTCGGCGGCGGGCGGCCTCGTACTCGGCCTCCTTCTGGCGGTGCCTCGCCTCGACCTCGTCCGGCGTCAGCCGCACGGCTGGCCTGGTGGCGCCCGCCACCGCCCCCCTCGTGCGCCTCATCAGCTGCACCTTTGACGCGTCCACCCGCGGGCCGCAGTCCACCATCTCGAGGCTGTCAGCAGAGTCGACCCTCGGGGGGGTGGCGGAGGGCGTGGCGCTGTCGCTGCCGGAGGCGGCCACGCCACCGCACCCGCATCCGCCCCGCCCCTCCGCCGCAGGGACCAGCTCCGACAGCGGCAGCGGCGGCGGCGAGGCGGCCGACGCCTCCGTCTTTAGCAGCGTCAGCCGCACCAGAGGCTCATCGCCGGCGGCGGCCGGGTCGGCGGCGGCGCTCGAGACGCGCAGCCCAAAGTGCGCCGCCACCGCCTCCACCAGGGACGCGTTGTACGCACTCATGGGCTGCATCTCGAGGGAAGGCGCCGTAGAGTTGCGCAGCCGCTGAAGCTCCGTCTCGAGGCGCAGCACATTGCGCCGCTCCTTGGGCTTCTGCAGTGCGCAGCGGAGGAAGGTGGGGTCCCTCTCCCCGTTCATGGTGGCGGCTCTTCCAGGCGCCCTTTTATGTGCGCGAGCCACACGGGGGAAGTGGGTTGCTGCTCTTATGCGGCCCGGGGGCACTCCGCGCATGAATTTATTTTTTCTGCGACCGAACACGCCATGCGAGGCAGACTTCTCGGTGGCGGAGTGCTGCTGGCTCGGTCCCTCTCCACCGACGCCGGCATCCTCACGCGGCTCGCCCGCTTCCGCCGCCACGCCGCCGCCCTCCACGCGTCCGACCCCGCCACCTGGACCGACCGCACGCTCTCGAGGCACTTTGGTGTGCCTCTCGACCGTGTGCAGGCCAGCTCTCCCTTCCCGAAGCCGCAGCCGGCCTTCGAGCAGCGCCGCCCAGCCGCTGTCGGCGCATCCGCACGCCTGCCGCGAACGCTTTGCCGCCGCCGCCGCCTCCCGCCGGCTCACTCGCGCCTCCTCACTCGCGCAGGCCGTGCTGGCGCTGCAGCAGATCGAGGCGGAGGCGGAGGCGGCGGGCGAGCTCGACGCCGACGCCGACGACCTCGACGCACAGGTCGAGGCGATCCTCGTCCCGGACGATGCCGAGCAGCTGCACGCGGCGACGCTGCGCCGGCTCGACTCTGCCGCCGCCGCGGGCCCGGACCCGACGCTGCGGCAGCTGTCTCGGGGGCACGAGGAGGCGCTCGCCTCGAGACTCGCCGAGCGGCTCGGCGCCGGGGGCTCGCTCGACGACGCCGAGGCGCGCTGGGCCACATTCCTCCCCCCCCCCACCCCCCCACCCCACCCTTCTCCTCCGCATCCCCGCCCCTTTCCACCTCACCGCACGTCCCGCGCCTCCAGCGCACCCATCTCCCCGATCCGGCCCGCTCGCCGTCGCCCCGCGCCCCTCGAGAGCCGCCCGCTCCGTCCCTCCGCAGGCACGCGCCTCCCTCGGCCGCGCGGCAGCAGCTCTCCTCGAAGGCCCTCCGCCGCTCCACTGCAGCACGGCCGGCCCGCGCGCAGGACACGTCCACGACACGTCCGCGACACGTGCCTTAGGCCTGACGGCGGAGGAGAGGGCGGAGCTGGCCGCGGCGGTGACGGACGGGCAGGCGACCTCCCTGCCGGACGCCTTCGCGCAGATGGACGTGGACGGCGACGGCGTGCTCTCCCTCCGACCCCTCCCTCAGACCAGCCATGCCAGGGGGGGGGGTGGGGGGGGTGGGGGGGGTGCGGAGAGCCTTTCCGGAACCTTCTCGGAACTCTCCACACGCAGGTGTGCTCTCGCGGGCTGAGTTTGACGCGGCGGCGGCGCGTTCGGAGGCGGAGTGGGCCGCGGCGCCGGGCGGGCTGCTGCAGCTGGCGCTGCAGGGCGGCGGAGGCGGGGAGCGGGACGGCGGCGCGGAGGCGGCGGCGGAGCGAGACGACGGCGTCACGAGGGTCGAGGCGTGCGCTGCCCCTTTGAAGGGGGGGAGGGGAGGGGGGTGGCGCCCGCACGCCTTGACCCGCTCTCGCGGCGTGCGGGTTGCCGTGCCCCGCGCAGGTGCTGAGCGACAACCCGAAGGGGACGCCAAAGTTTCTCGTGGTCGACGACTTTGGGCCGGAGGCGAGGGCCGGGGGAAGAGGGCTGGGGGCTGGGGAGGGCGAGACTGTGGGTGGGCGAGGCCTCGCAGCGGGGGAGAAGGGTGTGAGAGGGCTGCTCAGAGGAGGCGGGGAGGCCGGCCCTTCCCCCCTCCAGTTTTGCCGTTCCCCCCCCCCCCCCCCCTCCCCTCGCGCCCTTCACCCCCTCCCCTCCCCTCCCCCCTCCTTCCCAGGCGGAGCGGTACGTCCCTCGCCGCCTCGAGGCAGCGCCGCCCTGCCTCCGCCCTGCCGCCCAAGCCCACAGCCAGCCGAGACTTGGCCGCTCGCACGCAGGACAAGTCACGCCCTGTCCGCTCCGTCGACGGCGGCGACGCCCTCGCCGCAAGCGTCGACAAGCGGGCGGCCAACCTGACCGGCGGGCGGCAGCGAGTCAAGCGGACGGGCGAGCGGCTCGTGGGGCAGCGACTCACTCCTGAGCAAGGCGGGCGGGCCTCTGACTCGCTCTCCCTCTGCTGCCAGGCACCACGCTCGTGGTGGACGCCGGCCGGCGGAAGCAGCGCAAGGAGGTGTGGGAGGTGTGGGCGGTGGACAGGGACGGGCAGGCGAGGGGGAGGGGAAGGGGGGGGGGGTGAGTGGGGCGGGTGTGAGGAGGGTCTCTTCACCCCCCCTCCCTTTCGAGCAGGCGCGCGAGCCGTCTGACGAGGAGCGGCGGCGGGCGGTGCGAGCGAGAGACGGCGGCGGGACGCGCGGCGGGCTGCGGGGGCGTGAGGGTGTAGCGCGTGTGTCTCGTAGGTGCTCAAGGAGAAGGCGCCGCAGCTGCTCTCTCGGGTGAAGAGGAACTGGCAGTAGCAGCGGTAGCAGCGTTGGGCGCTGCGGCCGCTGTGTCGGAGAGCGGTGGAGGGGCGGCCGCTCGTGGACGTTGGCACATCCCGCCCCGCCCCTTTGTGCTGTGGCTGGCCCACCCTGTCCCCTGCCCGACCGACTCTTGTCGCTCCCTGGGCTCCCGCGCCAGCTCCAGCCCACCAAAAAACCCACACACGCACCGCGAGCGGGGCGGAGCCGGAGCGCACGTTCTTTATTTCAGTTTTCACGTGACGCGGGGCTCGCGGGGTCGCGGCCCGCCGCGCGCCTCGGGCCTCGCCCGCTCGCGCATCACACACACACGTCGGACACGCGACACGGCCGGCTACACATGGCAGGGGACTATCTTCTTCTATGGCACAGTAGCAGAAAAGCACGTAAACACGCGGGTTCCGAGACGCGCGACGCAAAAGTCAAGAGAACACTGATCCACCCGGTGGAGCCCGACCTCCGCATCAAGCTTATCGGCCGCAGACGGGCGCGCGTGGAGGCGACGGGAGCCAGCGGGCTACGTCAGCCTTGACTCCGCGCCTTGGCGTCCGCCTCGAGCTGCGTGGCGAAGCCTATTCACAGCTCGAGGTGTGAAGAGTGGGTGGTGTAGTGCGAGGCTTGTCGCGTGCGGGCAGGCTGCCGCTGAAGCGCTGCACCGAGAGAGAGGTTGCGGTGGAGAGCTCGCCTGCAGGGGAGGCGGCAGGGGTCGGGGAGGGGGCGGGGGGGTCATGGGAGGGGGGCGGGGAGGCGGCAGAAGAGGGGCGGGGGAGGAGGGAGGGGGTTGGCGGAGAGGTGTGGGCCGGCCTGCGGCGTAGACGTGGACGCATGGCATGAAGCGGACGTAGCAGCGGTCGCAGAAGGACCTCGAGGCGGCGTAGTCCACCTGGCGGCGGGGCCAGGGCGGGGCGAGGCCAGGGGTGAGCCCTCAGGGTGGACCTTCGTGGGCCCTCGTGGGGCGGGGAGAGAGTGCAGCGCCTCGAAGAAGTCGCACGAGCTGGACAGCTTGGCGGCTAGCCGCTCGTAGCGCGGCTTGGTCGCCTGCGGGGCGGGGCGGGGCTGTGTGCGGGCGGGGCGGGCCGGCGAGGCGACCGAGGGCGGGGGCGAGCCTTGCAGGACTTGCACCAGCGCGCGAAGAACTTTACGACCACGAGGCGGTCGCCGGCGGAGGTGATCGCAGCCTCGAGGTCGGCGGTGCTGCGCAACGGCGCCACGTGCTCGCGGTTCGAGTGGCTCGGATGACTCCCTTCCGCCGCCGCCGCCGCCGCCTGCTCCGCCTCGACCTCCGGCTTGCCCTTGACCTCGCGCGGGTCCCGGCCGTAGTTGCGGCCCTCCTCCGGGCCCGACCCGGCCCGGCCGGTGCGCCCTCGCCGCAGGTCGATCGTCTTGCCGCCCGAGACGCCCGTCGCCGCCGCCGCCGCGCCGGTCCGAGTCTCGCACTCTTCACCGACGCAGTCGTCACCGCTCCGGGGCAGCGCCGCCACCGCGACGGCTGCGCGGCGCCGTGAGCAGGCGCGAGGCTGCGGCGAAGAGGCGATCAGCGCGGCGTCGCTCAGCGCGGCGTCGCTGAGCAGTAGCAGCAGCGCCAGCCTCATGCGCTGCAGGGTATCGGTCGGAGCTCGCCGCGCGTGCCGACGAGCTTGAGAACGTCGGAGCGCGAGAATTCACGTCCGGCGACGTTGTGTCCTCGTGTGATGCCTTTTGTGGACTCGAGGGTCGAGATGACCACAGAGTGGTCAGAGGCGATGCAGTCGGTGTATCGGTCGTCAGCTCGCCGCGCCTGGGTTCCGGCTCCTAGCCGGATAGGGGGTCTGCCGCACTGGCTGGCCCTCCCACCCAGAACCCAGACAGATAGGTAGGTAGGTTGGTCTTGTTTCGCCCAAAAGGGCCCCCTTTTTTCTCTTTGTTTCGCTTCGCTGCGCGGCCTGGGGATAGGTAGGTAGGTAGGGCGTTTTGGCGCGAGTCAGTGGCAGGTAGGTAGAAAGGTGAAGAAAGGCCAGGCTCGGACTGGACACCAACGCGGTATGGGTGGACGCTAGACAGATGATGACGACACGCACGAGCGACACACAGACACAAACAGGCTCACAAGACACACAGCCAGCTGGCTGCCACACACCCTGAGTTGGCGTACACATAACTCAAGGCCACATCCTCCCAGCCTGTCGCCCCCCCCACCCAGCACTCCAAGGTGCCAAGAGAACAAACAAGGGCACAACAAACAACAGACGGCAGGAAGTAACATGTGAGACTAGAGCAGCTTGCTCCACCTCTAGCAATCTCGCCGTCCGGCGAGGCACGGACGAGACCGTGTGTGGCGTCTAGTGAGGTGTCTATGGACGCCCTCCTCAGAGGCTAGCTGCCTACTGCTAGCCCTATCTCGCACTCACGGGCAGTGACAATTCAATGGGTGAGTGTTTGCGAGCAGAGGCGCGTGGGCTAAATCTAGGCCGCACGTCGTGGCACTATCACGAAGGTAGACGTGCGGCCGCAGCGCGCCCGCCGCAGGCTCGGCGGTGCGCGCGTGTTAGCGAGAAAGTTGCGGGTGGAGCCATGCCCGACTTTTCGAAGGTGAGGCCTCTGCGACGAGTGCCAGCCGCGCTGCGGAGCCACACCCTTCGAGCCGCGTCCCGTCGGCACCGTCCCTGAGTGCGTCCCGCCCTGGCGGCACACACTCTCGACGAGGACACAGTCCGGCCTACGGGAACGTGTCGCGCGCCGGCGACGGTTGCGGCGTGGTGGTTTCGAGTACGAAGCGAAGATGGCACGACCCCCGCCCTGCATCGCAGACCGGGCGCAAGGAGGGGCCTGCTCCCGTTCCGCGAGGAACAGGAGGTCTCCCCCCCTCCCCCGGCCTGAGCAGCCACGGCTGGAAGGCAGCCCCTTGAGTCGAGGGCGACCATTGCCGCTCTCCAATGACCAGAGGCCCGGTAACTGCAGATGGTCTCGCCGCCCCGCTCCGCGCCGCCCGCCGCCGCGCCGCGCCGCCGCCCGATGATTATTAAGTAATAATCAATCAACAAATAATTAATTACCCCACCCGCCGCCGCGCCGCCCCGCCCTGCGCCGCCCGCCGCCTCGCCGCGCCGCCGCCTCGCGCCGCCCGCCGCCGCGCCACTCCGCCGCCCGAGGATTAATAATGAATAATTATTACCCGATTATTAATAATGTGTGTGTGTGTGTGTGTGTGTGTGTGTGTGTGTGTGTGTGTGTGTGTGTGTGTGTGTGTGTGTGTTTGCCTGATGGCAGGGAAGTGCAAGGCAGCGGCGAGCGGCAGGTGGCGTCGGCGACGTACTCAGGACAAGATGGTGAAGCCCAGCGCAGGAGCCCCGCAGCAGCGCCGACCGCGGCCTCGTGCCTCGTCGGCGGCGGTCTGAGCGAGGTAGCCTGTACTCCTCAACCTCCTTGGCACTCCCCCGACGAGCGGCGCGCTATGCGGGCCCGCCGCGGGCGACGCGGGCGGCGAGCCGACGTGCGTGCCGCAGTCATAGGCAGCGCTGGCGAAGCGAGGCGGTCGGCGCAGGCCCTCGGATGCGGTCGCAGCGAGAGAAGCGAGACAGCAGATGCTGTTGGAAGGGTGGGGAGCAGCCTGCCGTCGAGCAGCGCGCTGCGCAAGCCCGCTGTCGGCGGGCCGATCGGAGAGCTGGTAGTCGTGGTACTATTGAGCGCGCCATCGCGCCCGAGACGGCCCGCCCTGGCCCTGTAGACCCTCCCAGAGAGTTGGCGATGCTGTACAGCATGCCCAGAGCATACTGGACAGGCTCCCGTCGAGCGACGAGCCATGCTGGCTCGCCGCCGGCGGCGAGCTCGAAGACCCGCGCCGAGCTTCTCCGAGCCTCGCGGGCCCGCCGGCCCGCCCGCACGCCCGCGGCCGCAGGCAAGGAAGGCGAGCTTGCTGGCGTCTTTGGCAAGCGCTCACATGCCAAAAGACACCTCGCAGCGCGCGAGACGTGACCAAAGCCGCACGTCTCGGCGCCGCGAGAGCAGCCGGTCGACGTCGGCACCAAGCGCGCGGCCGCCGAGCGCCTCCGAACCGACAGGGGCGCCGCGGCAGTAGAGAGCACTCCACCGCCATGCCGTTTTTATGGCGGGTACCCAGCGGCAACAGACCCCCCCTGTCCGGCTAGGAGCCGGAACCCTGCCGACGAGCTATCACTGGATTACTTTCTTTCGGACCACACTCCTCTCTAAAAATCCCTGTGTGGTGTCGGCGTGCCGTCCTCGTATCCTTGAAAGAAAGAAAGAAAACACAGAAGCAAGATAGGCAAGGTCAGGACAATATACTCGTACCTGAAACTACACGATACCTCTATTTTCAAGCGCGCCACTCCGTCGCCTCGAGGCTCCGCGGCCATGCCCTCCGCCCGGGCGAGCCGGATCGGCGAGCGAGCAACACAAGAGTGGACGCATGGCTGGTTGCAGGGTCAGGGCGGGGTGGCCATGTCCCTAGTGCCTTTTTGCAACCGCGAACCGGCAGGACCTGGTCCTGGAGGAAGGAGGACCACGAGGACGACAGGGAGGACGGCAAGCGCAACGGCGATGCGGGCGAGTTGCGCGATTTAAACAGACAACCCAAGGGAGGGATGGGAGGACGGCACGCCGCCACCACACAGGGATTGCAGAAAGAAAGAAAGAAAACAGACACGCCAAACGAGGGATGGGACGAGGACAGGGTCCCCACCTGCACGAGCAGGATTTTGGAAGAACGATCAGGGGGACAGGTGGGGCTCTCCTGCTCCTGACAAGGGACACGACAGGCTCGCAGCGCGGTGCGCGGTGGACTCCCACATCCACTGGCGGTCTCATCTCAGTCTAGCGACCTGCCTCCAGCTTGTCGCTGGCAGTCTCTCCACCCACAGGCACACTGACACAGGGGTGGCAGGGGCGGCGGCACGAGTCTCCCACATACTATGCGGGCCTCACTAGAGGTGCGGCCTGTGCGTGTCTCAGCCCTTGAGGATATGTGTTCGTGGGTGAAATCCTGTAATATTGTATAATTCTTTTGTTGTGTGTCACCGAGGATGCAGCACCAGCGAGCTGAGGAGTCAGCTATCAACCTCGATCCTCTCTCCGCCCGCTCCGCCCTCTTTGCCTACTGGCGCGGGCTCGCGATCTGCGCCGCGGGCGGCAAGTACTCGCGCCTCTGCTCGGCGCTGCCGCACCTTACGCCGCAGGAGCGCGGAGAGCGTGCGAAAGCGCAGTCGGAAGCTGTGTCCTCCACGCTCACAGCCAGAGAGACGCCTCGCTCGGCCAGCATATGCCTCGCACCCCGCTCATCGGTTATTCTTCCGCCCGGCAGGAGCGGCTCTGCATCTACAGCCTCGCGCTGCACCTCCGCCTCTTTGGCGACGGCCACTACCGCAACATCCGGGGTCAACTCGATCCCCACCCAAAAGCGGAGGTACATCAGGAGCCGCAGCCGGCCTGCTCTATCAGCCCCGCAGCCGCGGTGGCGCGACCGGACCGCGGTCGCTCCAGGCGCCTTTTGGCCCCGGTTCGAATCGCGGTTGGCGCGCGCCCTCGCGGAGCGACGCGTGGCGCGCGACGCGCGCGCGTGCGCGTGCGCGCCCAGCCGAGCCCTAGGCCGTATGCCGTCTGCCGACCCAACGGATTCGTGCGGTGCAAGTTCTCTTTTTGTGGGCAAGGTCGTAGGACAAAGCGCTGTTGCTTGCTTCTCTCCACCATCCAATGAATGATCAGTCGAATGTCCCTTCATGGGCGCGCGCCGCCGAGCCTCTCGTTCCCTCTGTCAATGTCGCCTCTGTGAAGAAGGAGGTGCGCAGCTCCATCAAGGAGATTGGGCGCGCCGCCGATGAGATGGTGCGGTTGGGCCGGAGGCGCGGAGGGCCGGGCGCGAGCGAGCAGCTGCTCGCGCTGTCGACAGAGACGCGCGAGCGCGCGCGCGCGACGAGCCAGACGCTTCGCGCCGCCTTTGGCGCCGTCGACGACGCCTCTCCCGACCACGCGGCGCTCGTCTCGCTCTCCGAGGAGTTCAAGGCGGCGGTGCTCCGCTTCCAGCAGGAGGCGGAGGCGGCGAGCGGCGCGGCGGCGCCGTCGCAGGCGCCGCAGTCCCAGCCCTCGCTGCAGCCGCTGCCGCCGCTGAAGCCGCTGCCCCAGTTTGCGGGGGAGATGAGCCCAGCCATGGACATTGAGGCGGGCGGAGGCGGCGAGGGCGGCGGCGGGGAGGGGCGGCAGCTGCAGACGCAGCAGCTGCAGGCGCTGCAGACCAACGAGCGAGAGATGGCCGAGCGCGAGGCGGGGATCACCAGCATCCAGCGCGCCGTCAACGATGTCTCTGAGATCTTCCAGGCGCGGCTCGCCCCTTAGGGCAGGGCTCCTCGCCTCCTCGCCTCCTCGCCTCCTCGCCTCCTCGCCTCCTCGCCTCCTTGCCTCCTCGCCCTTCGCCCCCCCCCCCCTCCCCCCCCCCCCCCGGCTGCCCGTCCGAGGACCCCCCCACGCCTCCGCCTCACCCCGCCCCGCCCTCGCCCCGCCCTCAGGACCTGGCGCTGCTGGTCAACGAGCAGGGGACGCAGATCGACAACATCCAGACCAACATCGAGACCGCCGCCGCCAGCACCACCCGCGGCGTCAGGGAGCTCGTGCGAGCGGACGCGTCGCAGCGGCGGCAGCGGAAGCGGACCTGCTGCCTGATGATGTGTGTGCTCGTCATCATCCTTATCATCGTACTCGCAATCGCAGTCCACTGAGGCCGAGGCGGCGGGCGCAGGGCGGGGGCCGCCCTCCCAGTCCCATGTTGCGGGGGCGCGCTGCGCTAGACTCAGACCTGTGCTGCGAGGAGGCCTGTGCTGGCGCCGAGGGAGGAGGGGGGGCTGGTCGGGAGGCTGCCGACCCGTCGCGAGGTGCCGCTGTTCCCCCTCGGCCCTCGGCGCCTCTGACACGAGCCTCTGTGTTTGTGGAGAGTTGTGACGGCTGTCGGTACCCGCCACCGTGATTTAGTCTGTGCCAACGAGTTGCGCGTGTTTGAGTCGAGAGTTGCACCGCCTGGCGCGCGAAACTCGTTATAGTCTAGGGAGAGAAGTATATTGATTGCAGTGTGCAAGAGCCCGGAAAGGGAAACCCCGAAAATAACACATAAGACATACGATAATTAATATGTTAAACATTAACAATTTGTTTCTCCACATGTCGTGGGCCGCTTCACTCCAACGACGTCGGCGGACCGCCAGACCGCGCGGCGCGCCCACGCGCCACGCCCACGGCCACCGGCGCTGTACCACTGTTCCGTGTTTTCGTCCGCACCTGCACACGCGGACGAGTGCGCAGACCGCCCCGCAGCGCGCCACCGGGCGCTCCATCTAGCAACATGCCTCTGTCAGCGCATCACTTTTCAGCGCCCAAGCTCCACCAACGTCCCGTCGTGCACCTCGACTAAGCAGCGCAGCAGCACGGAGCTCGGCCCGCACGGCGCCAGCTCCAGCCGCACCGCCCTCCCCTCCCTCGCCGCCCTCCGCCTCTCCGCCGCCGCCCGCTCGGCGTCGCCCCTCCGCCCCGCCCGCCGGGCTCGCTTCGCCTCGCGGCGCGCCTCGTCGAAATTGGCGACCACGGCCGCGCGGCGCGCCTCGCTCACCCCCGCGCCGTTTGAGCGGTTGGGCGCGGGGACGGCAGCCAAGGTGCCGCTTGCCTCCGGGCCCGCGGCGTGTGCGGCTGAGGTGGCGCTGCGGGGGGCCAGCGCCGCCCAAGGCCGGCTGCAAAAGATGAAGTCGTTGAGAAACCTACGCTCGCAGCGGCGGCGGTGGTGCGTCCCGAGGTCTCGCGAGGTCTCGCGGCAGGAGGACAGCCGCCAGAGCGACTGCACGCGGTGTTGCTCCACCGCAACCACACCGCGCCCCGCCCCGCCAGCCTCCTCGCCGCCCTCGCCGCCGCCGCCCTCGACGTCGCACTCGACGCAGCGGCTCAGGTTGTCGACCCAGACGGCGAACTTGCGCTGCAGCTCCTGCCTGGACGCGCCTCCCACCCACTTGCCGCGCTGCCACTTGCCGGCGACCGCGACCGCCTTTGCGGCGAAGCAGTGCCCGTTGGCGGAGCCGAACACGTCGCCGCGCTGCGCGAAGAAGGCGGGCGGGAGGCAGCAGGGCTTGAGGCCGAGGAAGAAGAAGGAGGGGCTGTCGTTGAAGAGGTCGACCGCCCGCAGCGAGAGAGTGCCGCACAGGTGCACGCCGAGTAGCATCGCCGGACACCCGCGCGACAAAAAGGCGCGCAGGAGGCTGCGCCGGTCGCTGGGCGTCTTGAGGTCGGCGTGCGACGTCGAGAGCCGGATCGGCCACCCGGGGTCGGAGATGTGCGCCGGGTCGATGTGGTGCGGCCGCCGCTCGACGCCGTGCCTCGCCCACGCCTTGTCGACGAGGACGATCCGCTCAACCTGCACGGCGTCGGTGGAGAGGCGGCTAGACGTGGGGCGCGTAAACACCACTGAATTTTGGGCGAACCTTGTCCGGCGGCAGCAGCTCGGAGAGGAACATGGCCATGTACCCAAACCCAGAGCAAAGGTCGATCACGACGACCCGCGCACCTCCCTCCAACTTCACCGACTGCGCCTCGAGCCTCGCACGCTCCAGCACCGGCGCCGCCTCAGCGAGTTCCTTTGCCAACCGGCTGCCACGCCGCATCCGGTTCCACAGCGCCTTGCGGCCCCAGAAGCGCGTCCGCCAGCGAGCGGCGATCGCGCAGCACTCGTCTAGCAGCGCGCCGTGCGTGGCATAGGCGGGGCACGCACGCAGCTCCGCATGCAGCCAAGAGCACCACTCCTCGTTGGATATGGCGGTGACGGCGGCCTCGTCGTCGTCGCTGCCGTGGCCGTGCGGCGACATGAATCTGTAGCTGCGACCCTGCGACCCGCAAACCCAAAGTGCGAGCCCCGCGCACCAAGCAAGTGCGAGCCGGCACGCGGAAAAAGAATTTTCGCACAAAAGAAAATAACATGGCAAAAACGTAGCGAGGAACCAACGAAGACGGGTCGAACGAAGAGGCGGCCAGGCGCGCGGGATGCCTCTCCCACTCCTCCCAAAGATCCTCACCTAACCTTTGCCACAGCGCACGCCGCCACCGGCCTCGCCGCCCTCCTCGGCGAGGTTGACCTGCTGGGCCACTGCTGCAGGGAGTGCTCCTCGACACGGCCAAGCACCGAGCATGTAGCTGCATAGCACCGAGCCTCGACTTCTACAATCATGCATACCCAGCACTAACCGCGCGGCCTCATCGCTGATGTGGCATTCGCATTGCGTTGCCAGCGAGTAAGCGTTGTTGTAGCAGCCGCCCACACCTGCGCCAATCCTCCCCACCCTCCAGTTCAAGGCCCTCAGCCCCCTGGACGAGTCCCTTGGCCGCCTTCCTTCGCGGACCAAAAGCGAACGGCGGCGCCCAATGTCTCTTCCAGTAAGAACGAGTTTCGGGTTTTTTATTTGGTGTACTTGTGTAGTGTCACACAGAGAGAACAAACAAACATGGGCTGCAAGGCGCGCGGGCAGCCCGGCCAACCCTTCGACCACAAGAACGGCCACGGCTACGTCAAGGCGCATCGCGGTTTCTACCACGACGCGATCTTTGTCAAGCGCAACAACTTCAACCTGCTGCTCCACGAGACGTTCGGCGGCGGCTTCTCGCCCACCGCCGTTCTCAAGCTGCGCCGCCTCGCGCGCAAAGTCGCGCGCGGCAGCGTCGACCGCACGGCCTACTCGCCCAAGTACTCGCTCTCTTTTATGTCCCACCATGCAGAGCGCATCTCTCTCTCTGTTGTGCGAGGCGTGAACCGCGCCATTCGCTCTCACCTGGCAACCCTGTCTGCACGTCTCGCGCGCGCGTGAACAGGGCTCCAGGCCCCAAATGACGTGTGAGTGTTAGAGTTGTTTGGTATTGCTAAAAATCTCTCTCTCAGAGAGAGATTTTTTTACTCTGCCAGTGCGACAACTCTCTCTCCCAGTGCGCGCCAGGCCGGCCAGGATGGTCCCGTGCCTAGTGTCGTAAGGAGTTGGCTTGTACAACTCTTTTGATTGTGTTAGTGCCAGTGCGCGCCAGTCCCGTGCCTAGTGTCGACGTGAGAGGGAGTGGCGGGAAAATTGATTTTAAAGGGACGCGTCCAACGGATGGCGTGCTCGGGCATTATTTGACGCGTCCGCCCAGTTGGGTCCGAGTTGTCCGGCAAGCGATGGGTTGCTGGCTTAGTACCGAGTCCGAAGGCGTGACGGTCGAGGTCACCAACAAGTCCTCCCTCCCGGTGGTTCTGTGGGTCTCGGGTGCCGGCCCGGTTTGGCAGCGCAGCGGCGGCAGCCCGATCGTCCCCGCCAAGACAACCGTCAAGATGGCGCCAGGCTCAGCCGTCGGTCTCTGGCAAGCGACCATTGCACCGCCATGCCCAGCTCTCAGCTCGCTCATCATCTGGGAGGAGCGAGTGGGCCACACAGAAGGCGCAACGGTGATATCGCTGACTGTCAACTTCAACAGTGCGCTGCCGCTGAATGTGAAAGCGCCGAGGCTGAGGGCTGACCTCGCCCTGGGGATAGAGAGAGAGCGAGCACATTGTTGCGAAGCAGCGCGCCGTCCGGATGGCGCTGCACGATAAGTTGCGGCGCCAGAAAGCCATTCAGGATTCGACCGAGCGCCGCGCCGCCCGAGTCCTTACCAAGCGCGCGAGAGAGCTGTTGGCACAGCTAACGAGGCTCTGCCCCGTATGCCTGGAGGACTGCCCGATCACGAGCCTCACAAAGCTGGCCGACTGTGGACACAAGGTCTGCACGCCTTGCGCCAATGCCTTTGTCGACGCCGAACTCCTCGGAGGCAAAGCGTACGTGCGCTGCCCATGGGCTGGCTGCGATCGCCTCCTCGGCAAGGCGGCGCTGCGACAGTTTGGCTCGGCCGCGGCGTGGGATGCGTATGAATCAAGCCGCGTCGCGATGCACACGCAGCGGTGTGCCACTAGAGGGACGAGACATTACGATCCAGCGCCACGTACCACGAGACGTCGCGAACGAACCCGCCTCCGCAGGCTGGTCGACGAGACCGACCGCGGCTTCCTCTTGTTCTGCGCTGACCAAGCCCGCCGCTGCCCTTCCTGCATGGTCGTCATCTGGCGCTGGGCAGGGTGCCTCGCCAGAGAGACCGCCCCACACACGCTCGCAGCCAGACGTTCACCTTAGACCTTTGCAACTATAGAGCGGTGTGCGGCGCACCGTTCTGGAGTCAACTGCTAGAACCTGCTACCTGGCAGCCGCGCCCTCCCCGGACCAGGTGCGACCACATGACCTGCCGCTGCGGCTTCTCCTTCAACTGGAACGAGGCCGCCGCCAAGATCGCGCCGCCACCTGAAACCACCTTGGCAAACGACGTGGCGAACAAGTAGATTTTCGATGGGAGAGGGAGAGCGCGAGAGAGGGACGGCATCGGACCGGAGCACGGAGATTATCGTGGTGTGTCCCACAAGATCATGTCTGTCTATTATCGGCCACACAAAAAAGGATATTCTTCAAATCGTCCCTGCCTCCCAAACTGGCGCTACCGATAGTCGACCACAGATTTGTTCATTGGGATTCGGCCACAAGAGAGGTTAAAGGAGACTGAGATCTAAGTCGTTTGTATGAAGTTTTGCAAAAAAATGAAATGCCTCGAATTCGCCGGCACCGGTGAGCCTCCCCTCGAGCTCTTTATCCCGCAACTCCAGCTCTCCAGCTCTCCGGCTCTCTCCTCTGACGCACTACTCTAGTTGATCTCGGCTTCTTCACACATGATCCAAGCATCTCGACTCTGACCTGTACGCGCCGTGGGGTGGGGTGGAAGGGAGACTCCGGCACTCCGCGGAGGCCGGAGCGGTATCTCCGACTCCGTGAGTACCCTACGAAAACTAGTGGCCTACCACGAGTTGGGGCCCCCACCCCAATCGTTACCGGCGGATATTTTTCTTTGACCAGGCTCCAGGGGTGTGTGCGCGGAAAACGCCCAAACGTTACAAAAGAACCCAGAACCCTGCATGTGCATGGGGCACGCTTACGGTTACGAGTCGCGTTACCAACGCGAGATGCACAACTAAATGCCTTTCACAGACAATCCCTGAATGATTGCGACCCTGTTCTCTCGCCTTCTACTCAAAGATGGTGCACAAGGGTGTAGAGCCGACGCGGGGTGATGCCCACAGATGCAGAGCCCTCTTCCGTGGCGGCATCATCACGGACCGGGTGAATCGCTACGCCAACCTCGTCGTCGTCGTCGTCGCAGAACACGCTGCTGAAGCCCGGAAGCCCTGCAGACAATGTGGCGCGCGGGAAGTAGAGCCGGCCCCGCACGAAAGCGCCGCCCAGGCTTGTCTCAGCGCACGGCGTCCCCGCCTTCTCGGCCTTCCCGCTCTCGGGACAGAGACGGCCGCTCTCGTCCTCCTCGGGAGAGGCGGCATCGCCGGCCGAAATGGCAGGATCGATAGGATCCGCGGCTGCATCACCATTCGCACGAGACTCGTCTTGCAGCTCCCAGAAGGGCCGGGAGCGACGGAGCCGTCGCCCTGCGACGTGGGGGCTGCTGCCGCCGTCACCGCCACCGCCGCCGCCGCCGCCACCGCCGCCGCCGCCGCCGCCGCCGCCGCCGCCGCCGCCGCCGCCAGCGCCGCCTTGGTCCGAGTCGAGGGCACAAGCGCGCGCCTGCTTCTCCTCCTCCTGCTCCCCCTGCCCCCCCTGCTCCTCCTTCTCCTCGGTGGTCTTGAGATGCCATGCCGCCGGCTGCATGCCGCACATTGAGCGGTCCACCCGCTCGACGCATACTGGACAAGTACTCTTTTGCGAGGTGAGCCACGTCGTGATGCATTGGCGATGGAAGCTGTGCCTGTGGGAGCGATGCGGGAGGGCAGCCACATCCGGAGGGCAAAAGTTGCATGGCAGGCGTGTGTAGAGGGGGCTCACCCGCACGGGAGGACTGTGCCTTCGGCGCCGCCGGCGGCCTCTCCTCCCTCCTCCTCGCCCAAGGGATCGAGGCAGATGGCGCACTCGCCATCCCCTCCGAGGCTGCTGCGTAGCGCCAGCGCACCCGACATGGAGAGAACATCGGGTGGCGCCGCGGTTGCACGCACTGCTTCGTCGAGGCCGAGGAGGAGGTCGTAGTCTTCGGGGCCAAGCTCCTCATCGCCGAGCCGCTGGAGGCGCATCACCACCGCCATGCTGGCGTGCCCGTCAGGCGCGCCGCCGAGGTGCTCACGTGCTGCACGGGCGTTTAACCGTCGGCGCCGCCGCTCATTGAGAGATGCCGCTGCCGAGATTCGCAGGGAGATGCTGCTACCGTGTCGACGCGGACGGCGGCGCTCCGCACGCACAGGAGGCCGCGGCTGTGGTTGCTCCGTCTCCCGTGACGGCGACGCGGACGCCGCGGCACCCATTTTGCGGTGTATCTGGGAGGCGGCGGTTAGTTCCTGATGATTAGGCTGGGTCAAATACGGCCACGCAAACTTGCAAGTTTTGCACTTTTGCACCGGTTTCATCAGGTCACGCTAGTCAAAAAGGAAACCGGCCGGGGGCGCATCTTAAACTGGAGGCGAGGGCGGGGCAAGCAGCGAGCCGCCGACGATGCAGCTCAACCCTGGCCTGTTGCACAATCCGACTGGCGAGCCGACGAGACCGAGGAGGTCGACCGTCTCGAGCTTTGTCGCGCCCGTGAAGTCGGCGCCGTCTACATAGCACTCGTTCAGCTGCGAGTTCGGGAGAGCGGTGCCGCGGAAGAGGGCGCGCGCAAGCGAAACGCCGATGAGGTCGGTCCCGCCTGTTCAGCAGTCCACGCGGCGAAATGGTTCATCGGGGCGATGCGGGGCGGGCCCGAGCGGCGGGATGTGACGGCACGCACTGAGCGTCGCGTAGCTGAAGTCAGCGCCTTCTCCTGACCCGCGCAGTAACTCGCACCTGTTTAGGAGTCCACACACATTACGACATACACATACACAAAGCAAACTCTCACGGCGCACCGCTCGAAGGTTGCAGAGCGGAAGGACGCGCCTACGGCAGTCCCGCGTCTCTCTCATCGCAATCGACAGCTTCACTCCAGGAGCGCGATGCATGGCGCGAGGAGCGCCGGCGAAGGAGGCGTCGGTAAAGTGCGCGTCGAGGAAAGAGGCATAGTCCATTCTGACGCCATCGAGGGACGGCTCGATCAGGTCGCACCGGTCGAACGTCGCGCCGTTGAGGACCGTCGAGGGCGAAAAGAGGACGCCCTCGAGGTCGAAGAGTCGGAACGTGCTGTGCGTCAAATTGGCGCCGCGCAGCGATGCTTTAGGCATCGTGCAGCTCTCAAACACGATGCCACTCGCGTCGGCGCCGTCAAAGATGACGTTCCTCGACTCCTCGATGGCCCTCAGCGCCGCGCCAGCCAGCGACGCCCCCTCAAACCTCGCGCCGGTCAGCGAGCCCGCCACGTGCCCGCCCGACAGCGTGGCTGCTGCCAGCGAGGCGTGCGTCAGATCCGCGCCCGCGAGCACGAGCCCTATTGGGGAGCAGTGCTTCCGTCACGCCTCCTGCGGGTCGGGTCTCCGCCCGCCCCCTCTCGAGCGCGCAACCCTCTCCAAGGGCGCGGTCTAAAGATGCTCCCACAAAAGATGCTCCCCGCGCAGTGGCCTACCACACGCGTGCGTGCCGTGGACGCGTCGTGGACGTGTCCCGGCGCCCACGCGCGATGAAAACGCCAACCCAGTGGAGAGTAGTGTCATCCAGAGTAGCGCAGTCGAGCAGCGTGTCCGTCAGGTCCACCTGGGGACGCAACGGGCCGCGCTCAGACTGCTCGGCGACGCCACTGCCGGCCGCCGCCTTGGCGGGCCGCTCACGCGCCCCGTCCAGATTGGCGTGGCTGAGGTCTGCGCCGCGGAGGTCGAGGCCGGCCAGCCAGCCGCAGCCGAGGTCGGTGAGCTGCGCGCCCGGCGCGATCAGGCCGAGGCACTCCTCCCTCGGCCTGTGCCTACAGCCGCCGAGGCGTGGCCGAGCTTCAGCCCCGACAAGAGAAGAGGCACAGAGGTTGTGCGCTCACTGAACGGCACTCACTGGTACGACCGCTGGGCGGCGGCGGCAGCGGCGGCAGCGGCGGCGGCAGCGGCGGCAGCGGCGGCGGCAGACCCGGAGCCCTGCCCGGAGGCTGGGGTGGCAGGGGCGCCCGCCGCCGCCGGCAAGGAGGGCCGGCCCGGCGCTGTTGGCGTCAGGCTTGCGGCGTGGCCGTAGTGGCTGTCGCAGCGAGGGCACGTCGGGTCGCGGCCAAAGGGGTTGTAGGCGGCAGTGGGGGGGCTGGCGAGGGAAGGGTAGCACCAGCCGTCGAAGCTGCTGCAGTACGGCTTGGAGGCGGTGCAGGGGCAGGCGCCAGGCGAGGCGGCCGCCCTGGAGGGCGAGGCGACGCCGGTAGGCCGTGGCAGAGCGGGCTGGCCGGCGGACGGCTGCTGCCCGACGGGAGATCCGGCGGATGGGAGGGCGCCGGGGACGAGCCACCAAGGCGGGGGGCGCGGAGGTGGAGGCGGCGCGGAGGCGGGCAGCTGCGCCGTGGCGGGGGTGGAGGGGAGGCTTGCGGCGTGGCCGTAGTGGCTGTCGCAGCGAGGGCACGTCGGGTCGCGGCCAAAGGGGTTGTAGGCGGCAGTGGGGGGGCTGGCGAGGGAAGGGTAGCACCAGCCGTCGAAGCTGCTGCAGTACGGCTTGGAGGCGGTGCAGGGGCAGGCGCCCCGCGCGTGAGCCATGAGCTGCGACGGGGAGAGCTGGAGGCGCCTGCCGGCAGCGGTGGTGCCACCGCTTGCAGGCGCGCGTCCTGGCCTCCAGCCTTTGGGCGGGGCGGTGGAGGCGGTCGTGGCGGCCATGGTTGCGGCGGCGTCCCTGTACGCACGGGCGGCGGCGGCGCGGGCGGAAGGGTGTGTGGCTGCGGCCGCCGCAGCTGTTGCCGCAGCGAGAGCGGCAGAGGCGGCGTCGATGGCGGCGGAGGCGGCTGCGGAGGCGGAGGCCGGATCGAAGGGTGCGAACCCGACGCACTGCGGCGCTCGTTTCGAGCCGAGCCATGGGGGTGCGGAGGGGGGGAGGG